CTAACACTCGCCCCCCCCAGTTTCCATGGCAACAGCCGCCGATTTTTGGCGGGCCGGCACTCCCCCCTCCTCCCACCGCACGGTTACCACGGCAACCGCCGCCATGTTGAACCCAGGTAGTTCCCGCGCCTCGCGGTTGCCACGGCAACCGGCCGCCATTTTGCGCGCCGGCCACGCCCCCCCGCGAAGGGCGCTGAGGCGACCGCCGCCATTTTGAGAACTGCCCCCCACGCGGTTTCCATGGCAACCGCCGCCATTTTGTGAGGCCGGTAATTTTTTTTGGAGGGGGAAAAACGTCAACTTTGGGGGATTTCCCTCGTTTTCCAGAGTCCCATTTTTTGGGGGGGGGCTTCCCCCAATCCCTCAAATCACGCGCAGGAGCCGGGAGGGGTCAGAAAGGGCTTTAATTGGTCTCTACCCGGGGGGGGGGGGGGGGGCTGAGGGAGTCTGGGGGCCTCAAGGGGGGAATTTGGGGTCTCCCCCTAAAAATCTACTTCTTCTCCTCCTCTCCCACGATTTCGGGGGTCGGGGTTTGCTTTTGGGCCACCTGAGGGGACAAAAAGGAGGGGGGAGGTGTCAGTGCCTTGGCAGGTGTTCCCCAAAAATCCCCCAAAATTCCCCCCCTTCACCTCAATCCTCCCCAGTTTTGGAGTCTCCCCACCCCAAGACCCCCCAAAACCTCCCAGTTTTGGGGTCCCTCCACCTCAAATCCCCATAAAATTTGGGGTCTCTCCACCTCAAACCCCCCAATTTTGGGGTCCCCCCCACCCCAAGACCCCCCCAAACCCCCCAAATTTTGGGGTCCTCCCCTCACCTCCTCTCCTCCCTCATGGTTTTCGGGCTCTCCTGGTGCCTCAGGGGGGTCCGACACCCCCATTTCTTCTTCCTCTTCCTCCTCCTCTTCCTCCTCTCCCCCCAATTTCGGGGGTGGGTTTTGGGGGACCCGACCCCGCCCGCACACCCGGCACTGGCGGGGCCCCCCCGAAACCTGGGAATTCTCACCCAAAACCGAGGAATTCCCGCCCAAAATCGAGGAATTCCCCCCCAAAATGGGGGAATTTCTGCCCAAAATCAGTGAATTCCCACACAAAATCGGGGAATTTCTGCCCGAAACGAGGGAATTTGTGCCCAAAGCTGAGGAATTCCCACTGGAAGTCGAGGAATTCCCGCCCAAAACCGAGGAGTTCCCACCCAAAACTGGGGAGTTCCCGTCCAAAATTGGGGAATTTCCACCCAAAACTGTGGAATTCCCAGTCCCGGAGGCCACGGCACCGCCGCCCCTCCCCTTCCCGTGGCGGGTGGGGGGAGAGGGGCAGCAGGGCCGGAATTCCAACTTCTCCACCAGCTCCTGCAGCTTGGAGGTCTCGGAGCCGCCGCGATCTCGGGATTTGGGGCCGGAATCCCGGGATTTGGGGTCAGGATCCTGGGATTTGGGGCCGTTCCGAGGCCACGGGCGCTGGGGGGGCGGGGGAGGGGTGTTTTTGTCGCCCGGGGGGAGGGGCCTGCTGGGGAACGGGGTGGGGCCTGCCAGCGGGGTGGGCGTGGCCATATGTGGCTTGGGCATGGTTATTGGTGGGGTGGGCGTGGTCATGGAGGTGGTGGGAATTGGCGTGGTGGGCGTGGCCACCTGTTGGGGGACGACATTGACCTGTAGGGGGGAAACACAGCAACGTTTTGACCCCCAACTTGACCCGTTGGCCAACTTGGCCCCTTGATCTCCAACCTTGACCCATTGCCCCCCAATGACCCGTTGACCCAACCTTGACCTGTTGACCCCCCGCCTTGACTCATCCCCCCCCCAATGACCCATTGACCCAACCTTGATCCGTTGACCCCCAACTTGACCTGTTGACCCCCAATGACCCATTGACCCAACCTTGATCTTTTGATTCCCAACTTTGACCTGTTGACCCCCCAACCTCAACCCACTGGCCCCCAACCTTGACCTCTTGACCCACCTTGACCCCCCAAAGACCCACTGACCCAATCTTGACCCCCCAA